GTGTTGCTTCCGCTGCCACTGTCGCGGCTGAGGACGCTTTCCACGAGTCTCTTGTGCCATGAGCTGTTTCCGTAGTTGAAGTTGAGTCGCTTTTCGGGATCCTTCTTTCCGAACCAAAGGGGCTCGCTTTGAGAGAAGCCAACGGCGGTGAGCCAGGGATTACCGGGCGCATCGTGGGCAAGCTGAAAGATGACATCGACCTCCTCGAGCGAGCGGAAGGCAGTCTCAGGGTAAAAGAAGTATACCAAGGGGATGATGGCAAAGTTTGTGACAGCGAAAATGATCCATGTGCGGTAGGAAATGCGCTGGAATGCGATCGGGGTGATGAACACGACACTGTCTCGGTGTTAGTTGTGCAGCTAATGCGCTGGATCCGGAGTGTGACTTACACAAAGTTGAGCAACCAGTTGGCACTTGTCGAAAGACCGTTAGCAGGGCCACGAATCCGAAGTGGCACAATTTCGACCTGGTACAACCAAGCCATACCCTGCCATCCAATAGCGAAGAATACCGAAAAGATGAACAAGAAGACGGTGCTGGCAATCCTTCCGGCTTGCATATTGCGCTCGGACCACAAGTACTGTAGGATGGTAATGAGAATCATGCATGCTGACATGCCCGAGGCACCGAACATCATGAGTGAGCGACGGCCCCAGAAGCGATCAATACCGACAACAACGATGAACGACGCAAGGAAGTAGACAGTCGCTGAGCAGGATGCCAGGAGACGAGCCAACCAGCCCTCAAAGGACATACGTGTCAAGAAGATCCATGAGAGATACTGCAGAACCAAGTTGATACCAGTGCCCTGTTGGAAAACCTGTACGAAGTATGCCAACACAACACGATGGAATCCTCGGCGCTCCTTGTTGGAAAACAAGCCGGCGCTGGAACCTTGTGCCATAATCAAGATGGCATCCTTGATCTGTAGAAACTCGTCTTTTGTCTCGAAGCTATCAGGCTCATCATCGTTCAGCGCCGCGAGTACAGTGAGCGCCTCTTGTTCGCGTCCAGTAAGAATAAGCCATCGCGGCGATTCGGGGAGGACGAATAGCATCGCGATAGCGGGTAGCGCGAACATGATCTGCAGAGCGATAGGGACGCGCCATGATGCCGAGGAACTGGTGAGGTATGCAAAGCCGAAGACGAACCAGTACGAAAGCGCGATACCGGCGGAAACAAACGCTCCTGCACTGATCATGAGAATGGTTCCTTTGCGATGCGACTTGACGCATTCTGCCTGGTACGCGGGGGCGGTGGAAGTGGTGAAGCCATTGCCTATGTTACAGCGTCAGTCTTCGTGCGGAATTTCTTCTACAAAACGTAAGAGAGCTTACCGAAACCAGCGATCGCGCGACCGACGATGAACTGTGGAAAGCTGTAGGAAGACGTCTGAATAATTTCGCCAATCACCCAAAAGGTAAGACCGAGGATGAGTGTGCGCCGACGTCCAAGCAGGTCACCGACGAAGATTGTCGCAATGGCTGAGACGATGCAGCCGAGATGCCACGTTCCGACCGTAAGACCTGTTGATGTCAGTCAGACCCTGCATGGTCCAGTACCAATCTGAGGTATTGATGCGCCCCTGAGACTTGGTTCGACATACCTGTGACCCACGCATTATGAAAAGAACTCTGGTTGACAATGTCAACCTGAGGGAATCTGTCCAAGAACTGCTGAACAGTCAAGAGACCGCCCATAACACCCTGGGCATAGCCGAAACATCTTTGACCGATCAGTCAGGACGAATAATCTACGCGACACATACGGATGGGGTAACTCACAAAAAGCAAAGCCCACACGTGATGCTAATGGCGCTCGCAAGACTGCGACCTCTGAGACCCAAGAATCTCGCCATCTTGATGAAGCCTCGATAAGTCACGCAGGGAAGCAAAAGGTTGAAAAGACCGTCCTGCGGGCTGTCAAGTGTAAGGAATAACCCAAACTCATAACAACGCAGGTATTGCAGCAAGCAGCGGCACGTCTCTTAGATTTGAGATTTGCCCATGTTGCCCGCCCGTCCAGGCGTCCTGGTCTGGCCATCAGCCTAACGTCATGCCCGCAGGATCGTCGCAAGCGTGCCGTTCGTAGGTTCATGGCATCCTTGATGTCAACATGGTCGGCTAGGCTCTGTAGAGATTAGCGAGCGTTGTGAAGATGCGCTACATGCCGCTAGACATCAAAGATACAGCCCACGACCTGTCACTCGAAGTGTAAAGATCCCAGTATCAGCTGAGTATGGAGAAGGTTCGCTTCGTAGGTTTGATTATACTTGAATTGAGGCTGTCCACGCTGTGCCAATGTCTCTTTTGGTTTCGACACGCAGGAAAGTTGGCTCTTGGGCAAACGTCATGTCGGCGAACTTCCCTAAGCGTACCGTCCGAAGCATTATGCAACCCACGGTCGAGTATCGCGACACCAAGCTGAAGACGGCTAAGTCATAGATCCAAGCCGCGCTAGAGATCGTTGCTGTCAGGTACGCGAGCTGTAACGCAAGCCGAGTGGTTCTTGGAAAAGGCCGACACACACGATCTCGATGACCGGCTGATGTCATCGACCTGTTAGCGCCGATCAGCTGAGAGATCGAGCACGTTGAGGGACCGCACAGACTTTGCATCCCACCAGTTGTTCGGGATCGAGATGACTCGTTACTAGCCGAAACGGCTGAACGCGATGAACCGTTGCATTGTTGCTATTGTTGGGTGATATCGGATGAGATGACCAGCGAATCAACGCTTGATGAGGGAACGGGAGGGAGAGTCGGAGCCTGTTGCAGGTCAAATGTCAAAGTGCTGAATAGCGATGCACGTCCTGTACTGTACTGTCGCGACTTGTGCACATGGTTTAGAATAATCGGACATGCCGTCCTAACGAACGAGCGGACAGGCTTGGCCAACGGCGAGTTCTGGCATGTGTTCGCACCCGGGGATTTAGCGCTGGGGTACGCGAGAAAGAGCGGATAAGAGTATTGATTTTTCTATTTGGCTAAGAACTTCTGGAACGCTTCCTGCTCGATAACTACACTGCCTACCGACCTCAGCTTCTTTCTGCCCTCTTTCTGCTTCTCGAGGAGCTTGCGCCGTCTGCTGAGATCACTAGCATGGAGCTTGGCGAGGACATCCTTGCGGTACGGCTTGATGGTAGCTCGCGCCACGATCCTCCTGCCGGCTGCAGCCTGTATGATGACCTCAAACATTTGTCGTTCGACATGTTCTTTGAACTTTTCGACCCATGTGCGGCCCACCTTATCAACTTGTGAGGTGTGCAGGACGCGTGACACGGCATCGACTGGGGAGCCGTTGACGAGTAGGTTGAGCTTGATGATGGAAGACCTGCGGAAGCCTGCATCCTCGTAGTCAAGAGAGGCGTAACCTTTGGTGGAGCCTTTGAGTTTGCCGAAGAAGTCGTCTACAAGATGCGACAGGGGTATGTCGTACTTCAGGATGACTTGGGTGGCAGTGAAGAAGGTAAGCTCCTTCTGCTCGCCGCGATTGGCCTCGCAAAGCTTGATGACCTCACCAAGATATTCGTCCGGCATGGTGATGGTTGCAGATACGTAGGGCTCATGGACTTCCTGCACTCTGAAATGCGCTTGGTCCTGATCGGGAAACTCATTGGGGTTGGTGATGATGGACTCGGTGCCGTCTTTCCAGATCACCTTGAAGGGTACGGAGGGCGGTGTGATGATGATGTTGGCACCATGTTCCTGACGCAAGCGGTCCTCGAAGACGGAGCAATGCAGCGTGCCCAAGAACCCCAAGCGCCAACCAGCACCCAGAGCATCGGACGACTCCTTCTGCAATGTAACGCTGCGGTCGTTGAGGATGATCTGCTGGATGCTGTCTTCGAGATGCTCGTGGAGATCCTGGTCGGTTGGGAAGGCGGAGACAAAGACCATGCTCTTGGGCTCCTCGAAGCCCGGGTAGGGCTCTACCAGCTTCTCAGATCCAATGGTGGTATAAGTGTCGCCGACCTTGGCCTCTTGCGAGCGCTTCATGCCAGGGTTGAAGTAGATGTAGCCCACCTGCCCAGCCTTGAGAACCGTCTGCGGGGTCTGGTCGGGGTACATGATGCCAACCTCGCCCACGATGTACTTCAGCTTAGTTGCGAAGGAGCGTATGGTGTCCCCAGGCCGCACCTGCCCGTCGAATATGCGCACCAGCAGGATGACGCCCTTGTATACATCGTACCACGAATCGACGAGGAGCATACGGAGAGGCTTCTTCAGATCGCCGACTGGGGCGGGTATCTTTTCGACGACGGTAGGAAGGAGGGCAGGGACATTGAGTCCGGTCTTGGCTGAGACAAGGACGGCGTCTTTTGGGTCGAGCTCGAAGGTTTCGCGCATCTGCTCAAGCACCCGCGGCGAGTCGGCATGGGGGAGGTCGACCTTATTCAGCACCGGTACCAGCGTGAGGCCTTGAGCGAAGGCGAGGTAAAAGTTGGCGACTGTCTGCGCCTGCACGCCCTGGCTGGCATCCACGAGCAGCAGGGCTCCTCCACAGCTGGCATAACTGCGCGACACCTCGGCTCTGAAGTCGACGTGGCCCGGCGTGTCCACCAGATGCAGCAGATAGTCCTGGCCCTCGTGCTTGTATATCATACTACATGTCTGCGCCTTGACGGTGATGCCACGTTCCCTCTCCACGTCAAGCTTGTCGAGAAACTGCTTCTGGCCGCCGGGCTGGATGGTGCCCGTGATCTCCAGAAGGCGGTCCGAGAGGGTGGACTTGCCATGGTCGACGTGGGCGACGATGCAGAAATTGCGGTATCGGTCGATGGGGATGTCGGCGATGCGCTTCTCGAGCTCTGACTGGGGGCGGAAGGCTTGCGCATAGTTTCTGGCGAGGGGCGGCAGGCGCTCAAGCAGGCGTGAGGTACGCGGGAAGCCAGTGCAGCGGGCAGAGGGCGTCCGCCAGCCGTGCAGAAGGCTGCTCGCAGTTCGAACGCATGATCGCATGAGTGGGCATGAGGTCGGATCCGTGCCTGGCTGCTCGTCACTCGGGTGGTGGTGTCGACGACTTTTTTGATCGATCTTATCTTATCGGCGACGGGCGGTTCCTGCATCTGCACCCAGACCCACTCCCAGACCTCTCTCATCCGACAACTCTACCCCGCAAGCATACTAGGCCTAACTCTGATACTCGGAGAGACTCGGTCATTGATTGCGCCTTCTTTGACCAGCTTTGTTGCACTATCTCGTTGCTTCCTGTTCCGCCAGGCTACGCAGGTCGCAGTTACCCTATCAACAAACCCCGTAAACAACACAACGCCAACCTTCACCGCGCCCCTGCCGCAATGTCTCAACCGAAGACCTCCTCCAAGTCAAAATCCTCCAAGAGCGAATCAAAATCTTCCAAGAGTGATTCCTCCAAGGTGCACAAGCTTGCGCTCAAGGGCTCTTCGAAAGTCGTTAACGAGTTCGTAAGTCGGTGAGGCCAAGCAACGCATTCCACGCTTACCCTGATTAGTTTGAGTACTCCGTCAACACCATCCTGTAAGCATAACGAGCAGCATTGTCGCCCAATATCTACGTCACTGACTCTGCTCAGCTTTCAAAGAGGTGTTTACCCAGCCGAGGACTTCACCGCGTAAGCTTGTTCTACACCATGACGCCAATCAGCCATTAACAAAATGTAGCGTGAAGAAATATGGGCTGACTATGATGGGTACGTGACCTGCCAATCCCGTCATCGGCCAAATTCTGACCTTTCCAGTGACTGCCGATGACCAGGTCAAGGCCTACATCAAGAAGATCATGGGCCAGCTGAAGGAGTGGATGTATGGAGGCAAGATCTCAAAGCTTGTCGTCGTCATTACGAGCAAAGAAACTGGAGAGCATGTTGAGCGCTGGCAATTTGACGTAAGCTACACGAAGTAGAGTGAAACCTAGTCTCTGACAGCATCTAGGTCCAAATTTACGGGAAGAGCGCAAAGGCGAAATCGTCCAAAAAGACGGCCGACCAAGAAAACTCCGTTCCAGAGTGAGCGAAAAGTCCCGCCGATTCGAACACATACTGACAACTACCAGTGCCAGCGAGGCATCGGAAGACAAGACCGAAGCTGAGATCCAGGCCGAGATCCAGTCTGTTTTCAGGCAGATCACTGCATCTGTGACTTTCCTACCCATGCTGGACGGAAACTGTACCTTCAACGTTCTTGTCTATGCCGACACGGACTCTGAAGTGCCTCTCGAGTGGGGTGACAGTGACGCCAAGGAGATCAAGAATGGCGAGAAGGTGCAGCTGCGGAGCTTCAGCACAAGCAACCATCGTGTGGACACTCTAGTGAGCTACAGGTGAGTGACATCATGAACTGGCTGTGGACGCGATGTACTAATCTTCTAGACTTGCCGACTAAAATCCGTCGCGTTTAAGCTTCTACCTTTCTGTGTCCTTTCCCATTTTTCTCACCTGCTCGACTTTTTCGCCCAGGCGCACGGAGTATTTGGGTCGCAGCATGTTCCAGGGTTCGATGACTAAACTCGCGGCATTTCTCAAAGCCTTCTACGCGGCGGTATCCACACACCAATGAATATCATGCAGTTGCCTTCAATTTTCATCCAGAAGTGAACCTATCCGATAACGAACACGTGCCTAGGCCAGAAGCTTCCTCTGGTACTGCTGGGCCGACGCTGATTTAGGTGGTGGGGCGGTGACTTTGTGACCGCTGTGGCTTTGAAGGCTCGTACACAACTTCCGTTCGTTCTCTTTCGGTCCATGCTTGTATTGGTGGTGCGACAGCGTTGGCATCGCAAACGCAGCGAAGTGGATTCGTCAAGCGTAGGTCCTCGGTAAGGCACGCGTTAATCTTTCCAACCTCACTTTGTATGCTGATCTAGGTTTGTTGAAACCTTCAACGAGGCGGTACTGTTGCGTTACAATGACGGACTTACGCAATTTTCTCGATGCGCGTGGCCTAAAGCCCGCAAAATACACCCGCTGTTGTGTTATAGGCGCCCCACCTCAGTGGCAACACAAATGATGCCTGGCTTTCCAAAAACATATTTGGTATAGGAGCATGGGAATCTCTTTTGGATGCGCGAACTTCTCGTTCGCAGATCATTCCCCACAAGCTATGCTCGGTGTTGCCTCATCTCACACACAGAAATGTTGTCGCACCTTCCTTCACTGATTCGCCAGGCGGTTCCGACATGTTCACACGGCTTGGGGATATCTGGTACATGTACACACTGCTACCAGAGAATCTCCCAAGCTACCGACTTTCTTAATTTGGTACGGTCCCAATGTCACTGATTTTGGCGCATCTTATCTCCATAACCAGCCTCGTTACATGCCTGAGTGCTGTATCTACTGGTTGAGGAGGGAGGAAATACCGTGCGGTAGCGCATCTGTAACAGAGCACAGGTGCGATTTCCACCACGACCCAACAAGACTACGTTTACCTGGGGTTCCATGGCACCTTGAAGCTCCAAGTTCAAGCTTATCCTGCATGGCTCGCCCAAGACAACTTCAGCACATGTTAGGCGCACCAATACCAATTGACTATCGCCACATTACACTGTTTGCATACTAAACTCGTGCAGTTGTGGCTGCACCGGTAGTCGCTTATAGAGGTGTGGATACTTTCCACCGCACGTACAATTCCTAGAAAAGGTATGCACCTCTTGAATTTCAGCTGAGTATCTCTTCTCCTCGCTAACCGCTTGGTGTTGCCGTCTTCTCAGTCGTTACCTAACATCCGTGTGCACCTTTGTCCTTTGTCGTTCAGACGCACAACTCACAGCCATTCCTCACCCTGGGTTCATATGCAAAGACGCAGAAATGGGTTTAACCGACAGACTTTTCGGAAAAGAGAGTGGTGTCTCTCGACCGCATGATGGCACTCGTGGGAGCGAGGAACCATCACCCCAGAATCCTCTCGCGCCAAAACCTCGAGCTGGCGACGAGTCACCGGCTAGCTTCACACCTATGCAGCTTGCTCCAGCTAGCGCTCACTCTGGCGTGTCTGGAAGCATCCACGGCAGTGACAGTACCGTGCACACAGATGCTGCTCGCGATGTCAAGGCCGAGATCCTGGCCAACTGGCTTCACACCAAGCAAGAGGAGCGGGTATGGACTTTTGGAGCAGCTGGTGAAGGTTGTTTTATGAAGAAGTCAAAAGGCAGCTATTCCTGCATCCCCAACGCGCTTCAAACCGATGGTACAGGTCTCTACGAAGCTGTCACCGAGTTGAACGTCCGAGTAAGTTGAGCAACTGCCAAACACCTGCTCAACGTGTTCACTAACACTTTGCAGTGCGCCATGACCGTTACCACCAGGGTCATTCAGTATGTCCTTGAACGAACTAATGGCCAGTATGTACAAATCCAGAGTGGCCTTCGTTTGCAGGTTATTCCCGATTTTGAAGCTTTGCCATACTGCCAAAGGGGCCAGTCCGCTGCCTTCGTTGCCTCACGAGGCATGCTGGTAGTGTGGCAGGACGACCCCAAGCTGACGCTCGAACGCGCAGAGTTCATCATCAATTGTTTGATGAGGATGATGTGTGGAGCTGAATACGGCTATGATGCCCAAGACTTGGAGTTGGAGAAGTCAGGAAAGAACCTCGCAATCGATATGGAAGATTACGACGACTCGCGTGATTCTGGAGAAGCCACTGGCGAGGAGGCCCGAGACATGAAATTGTGGCAGGCTGCCTACTGCGGCATGTCTATTCTTCTTCTGACCGTAGCTATCGGTTCCGGATACAGGCAAATCGCCATCGAAGAGTTCCAAGCCCCCAAGCACTGGCTTCGTCTGCTCTTCATCATCTGCTTACCTGCGCAAGTCTGGCTATCATTAGTAAGTCATATGCCTGCACTCTACGAGTTTGCTTCTGACTTTATCAGTTCTTCTTCCAAGCTCTGGTTGGCAATTTTGCCCAAATCGTTGGCCCCACCGATCAGATGAAAGAGAACAGCCGCTACTACTCTGGCAAAGCACCCAGGCGCATCAACCGTGATACCTTTGGCAAGTCGCTCCCACATGTAACGATCCAAATGCCTGTCTACAAGGAGGGTCTACGTACCGTCATTGAGCCCACCATTCGGTCACTCAAGCAAGCTATCTCTACCTACGAGCTGCAGGGAGGAAGCGCCAACATCTTCGTTAACGACGACGGAAGTAAGTGCTGCGCCAGTGCGTAATGTGAGCCACACTGACATCTGCTAGTGCAAATTCTCGGAGCCGAGGAGTCCCAAGAGCGCCAGGAATTCTATGACGAGCACGGCATTGGCTGGGTAGCGCGTCCAAGGCACGATCCTAAGGGCGAGCACGGATCAAAGCCCTTCATCCGCCCTGGAAAGTTCAAGAAGGCATCCAACATGAATTACGCCTTAAGAATCACTTGCAGGGTTGAAGAGGTCATGGCACAACATCCGCGTGAAGAGAGCTGGAGTCAGTTCGAAGAGAACGCCCTCTACAGGGAGGTCATGGAATCAGTCATGGCTGAACACGAGGGCGAGGCTTGGGCTGATGGTAATATCCGAATTGGCGACCACATTCTCCTGGTCGACTCCGACACCCGTGTGCCCAAGGACTGCCTGCTCGAAGCCGTCAGCGAGATGGAGCAGGGTCAAGAAGTGGCCATTCTACAGTACTCTTCCGGGGTCATGAACGTCACCAACAACTTCTTCGAGAACGGCATCACTTTCTTCACCAACATGATCTACACCATGATCCGATTTGCTGTCGCTGGTGGAGACGTCGCACCTTTCGTCGGTCACAACGCCATCCTGAGGTGGGAGGCACTCCAGAAGGTGGCTTATGAGGTCACAGAACGTGGACAAAGGTTTGACAAGTTTTGGTCCGAGGAGACGGTGTCTGAGGATTTCGATATGAGTCTGCGGCTACAGAGTGCCGGCTACATCATCCGGTTGGCCTCATACCAGGGTGACGGTTTCAAGGAGGGTGTATCCCTCACCGTATACGATGAGCTTGCCCGTTGGGAGAAGTATGTTTGCCCTCAACGTCAACATTGTTCAGTTGCCAACTCACATTCTCTAGGTATGCATACGGCTGCAACGAGCTGATCTTCAACCCCTTGGTCTACTGGCTCACTCGAGGTCCTTTCACCAAGCTTTTCCGCAAATTTATCTTGTAAGTAGACCTTCAGAGGTCGTGTAGTCTCGTCCGTTCTTCGGCTAACACAATGATACCAGTTCCAGCATGCCTCTCGCGTCAAAGGTTACTATCATGGCTTACATCGGTACCTACTACGCTCTCGGTTGCTCATGGGCTCTCACCATACTCAACTACTTCTTGATCGGTTTCTTCAACGGATGGCTAGATCATTACTACATCAACTCCTTCCGCGGTAAGCATCACATCATTGTTTGTCTCGCGCATCACTAACATCCATCAGTCTACTTCGCCATCATCATTGTCTTCAGTGTCCTCGGTAACATTGCCCTCGCCGTCCTCCGCTACCGCATCGGCGAAGGTTCTATCCTCGGCGGCCTCTGGACAAACATCAAATGGATCCCACTCCTAACCATCTTCCTCGGCGGCATCTCTCTACACGTCTCGCAGGCTCTCCTCGCGCATTTCGTCAGCTGGCCTCTTGAGTGGGGTTCCACCTCCAAAGAAACCGAACAAGTCAGTTTCTTCCTGGCCATCAGCAGGGTGTTGAGGAAGTTCAAGTGGAGCTTCATTTTCTGCATTGGTATGACTGCGATTATGATTACCATGGCTTTTGCTCTGCAAGAGGACTGGAGGATCAAAGAGCTCATCGCCGTTTGGCCTATGGGCACCGTGGTCGTCTTCCACTTTTTGTTGCCAATTGTGCTTAACCCGCAGCTGATGAATTTTACCTGGTAAAGGCGGCCACCGGTGCTTGGTGATACTCTGGGTTGAGGAGAGAAGACGGAAGAAGATAATAATCTGACTGTTGGTACTAATACTTGGGGTGTGTTGGACTTTTCCGTATGTGAGAGTACGACGTAGTCTTCGCCTGAAATAATGAAACACTAGAATCGACCCGCCGTGTTCGTGATTGTCTGGTCGTTCTTGGGCAATGTCAAGGCCTCCTTGTTCACCCGCACCAAGTGACGAACTTCTCGACGACAAATTCGTCTAGTCCCCACTGCCCGTTCTGCCGCCCAAATCCACTGCCTTTAACGCCGCCTTGGCTTCCGGTCGGCGATGTGTAGACTGAAATGCTGTTGGCGTGCACTTGGCCATATTCCAGTTCTCGCGACATCTTCATGAACCGCGCCATATCGCGTGTCCAAACCGTAGCATTGAGACCATATACCGAGCGATTCGCCAACGCAACAGCTTCTTCGTCCGAGGAAACGACGTATAGCGAAGCTGAAGGGCCAAAAGTCTCTTCGTCCAGAATGCGAGATGAAGGCGAAGGGTTGACGATAATCGTAGGTTTGAGCGCGATCCCACTACCAGAAGAAGCAGCGTCGACACCACCAACAAGAACCTCATCGCCCTTCTCCTGCGCATCCCGAATAACATCCTCAGCATGCCTCGCGATACCCTCTGACACGGCGGACCCAGCCGGACCCTCCATCCCCCGCATAGCATCCGCCAACAACGTCTTGAACTTCTCCGCCACTCCCTTCATCACAATAATCCTCTCAGTACTAAAGCAAATCTGCCCATGGTGCAACACAGCACCCATCCCGCACTGCCTCGCCGCCTCTTCCAAATCCGCATCTTCCAGCACAATCGCCGGACACTTCCCCCCTAGCTCCATCAACACCGGTTTAAGATACTTCGCCGCGATCCCCATAATCCTCTTTCCCACCTCCGCGCTACCAATGAACTCAATCTTGCGAACCGCATCATGCGCTATCAACGTCTCAGTCACCTCAGCCGCATCTTTCCGTCGACATTGAACCTGGTTCAACACCCCATCTGGACAACCGCTCTCGGCAAACGCTTGCGTGATGAGTCCGTGGGTTTGGGGACAGAGTTCACTCGCTTTGAAGACTACGGTGCAGCCTACGGCTATGGCACTTGCGATCCCCCTCGTTGCGAGAACGAGTGCGGCGTTCCAGGGCGCGATGCATAGGACTGGTCCGATCGGTTCTTTGAACACGAAACCTTGGGTGTTGGGTTTTTCGGTTGGGGGGATGACGCCTGTTACGCTGCTTATCTGCGCGGCGATTTCATTCAGGTACGAGATGGAGAGGTTGACGTTCTGACACGCCCAGGCTTCTGTGCAGGAGGTTTCGGCGATTTGCGCGGCGATGAGTGAGGGGGCGTGGGAGTCGTAGTAGGTGACTACGCGTTGGAGGAGGGAACGCCGGGTTGTGTGAGGGGTGGAGCGCCAGGATTTGAAGGCAGAGAATGAGGAGACTGCCGCTTGGGTTGCTTCGGTGGTGGAAGCGGAGGAGGCGTGGTGGATGGTTTTGGAGGTGCTGGCTTGGGTCACGGGGATGGTGGTTTGCGTGTGGATTGGTTTGTTGTCGATCCAGAGAGGGACTGTGGACTGAGTGTTTGAGGACATGGTGGATGGATCTACGTCGAGAACTGATCACGATTCCAAAAATCTCACAGCTCCTCGTCTCCCCGAGGCCAAATATACAGAACACAGAAACCTCACGGGCGTGTTGGCATCACCAATCAGTGCAAGGCGAACATTACGTCATCGTGAAGCCGCGTCGATCATTCTTCGGCAGATGTCGCAGCACTGCGCAGGACACACGTTGCATCGATTCGAACATCGCATGGGCCGCACGAGCGCGGTGCGACACTCGGAATATATCGCACCGGCTGTTTCCTCGCGGTCATCCTCTGCTGTCGGAGTCCTCAGCGAACAACCTCAAAGCTATCGCAATCATACCGTATACCAAAGTACAATCTCAATGACCCAGCCCGAACCAGGACCAGACCGCAGTCTGAGTCAAAGGCGCACTCTATTCTTTCGGTATGGAAAGGCTGCACGGGTGGTGAAGGGGCGGCTGCGGGTGCGGGTGCGGGTGGCTGGTAGACCGGTAGCGCTTCGGAGATGCGCACCTAGCTAAGGTCAAGCCCCGTCTTCGTTTCCTGTATCAGCGCCCCTGGAATCGTCCATGTACTTGGGGGCCATGTGTACACACTCAAATCTACCCACGGCATCCCGAGGTCTCTTGTCTCTTGCTTCGAGAGACAGCATTTGCGAAGCCAAAACAAACCATGCGGGCCGGCCCCTAACCGCCGCCTTGGTGGGATCGTGAACCTGAGCCAACCTGGAGTAGTCAACAACACAGCCCTCCATGCAGACGATACGGTTCTGCTCAAGCCACGTTTTCTTGGCTTCCCCTGCATGTGTTGTGGACTACACTGTCAATAAATATGTTGCAGTGCGTCTCTCCGCCTTGTTCATTCTTTTCGCAGAACCTGAGGTTTATTGCGCTTTTGTTAATAGGCATCAATTGTCATGGCCGATGACCCCGCCGCAGCGCCATACCATTATTTACCCATACCTCCAACCTCAAAGTGTATACGCGTTCTCGATGTCGACGCAGCGTCGACTGAAGCAGCCGCTGTAGTTGGCCTTCTCCGTATCGTGGACCTAGAAACCTCTCCCGACTTTACCGCCATCTCCTACGTTTGGGGCTCACCGAAGGATAATCGAATCATTACATGCAGCGGCGTAGATATCGTCGTTTCTGTCAATGGCTATTCAGCGCTGCAGCATCTACGAGCGCGCCTCGGAGCTTTCACAATATGGATCGATGCGGTCTGCATCGATCAAAAGAACACGAAGGAAAAGGAGCACCAGATTCCGCTGATGGGTGACATATATTCGCAAGCTGCGACTGTGTATGTGTGGCTGGGTGAGGGTAATGAGAAAAGTGATCGCGCAATCAAATATATGGAAACCGCTGGCTTCTTGGATTATTTCCAGGCGGAAAGCGGTGATACTAAAACTCCCAAAGCTGATTACGGGCGCCCATTCCTCGCAGCCTGTTCTGCTACTATAGCACGTTGGAGCTTGATAAGGCACCCTTTCGTGTTTCATGGTGAGCCTTGTGACATCAAATTCGTATCCACGCTGACCTGTGAAGACTCTGTCGGTACATGGCGGGGCCCTCTGAGCCCTATAATTCTCCGGTTGTGTAGCAGAGATGCGAAATATGCAACCGAAGACGACCTATTGGATCTGCTACAGCGGGATTGGATTAGCAGACTCTGGACCTACCAAGAAATCCTTCTCGCTTCCAACCCGGTTATAGTTTGCGGTAGCACTCACATCTGTTGGAACAGATTCGCAATCAGTCTGATCTTTTTGGCTACTGCGAGCCCTCGTCTCGGGTCGTATATGTGCCCTTGGAAGAGGGTTGCTATGAGTAGACAGGATATAAATCCGGACTGCGTAAATTCGGACCCTGCAAGCGACTCCTCTCTGGAAGGCTATGCAGAATTTTCGAGACGCATGTGCCGACTTCACCGCCTGACCGATCGGATAAGTTTCTGCTTTCTCGGTTTCTTACTCGCTTTCCTGCTCTGGTCCGCCTTCCTTGGCTCCAATCCTCACGAACGCAAGGTGATTTTCGCCGTTTCATTGACAGCCGTCTTTATCATTCTCGTGATGATGGTACGTCTGGTCTTGTTATCGTCCCCGCGCGTTTTGTATCGCAACGAAGAACGCCAAACCAATGTGAATGATCTCATTGACGGCGTTTACACTCGAGATGCCACAGTGTCAAAAGACATGGCTTTTGGCCTTTGGGCCATCTTGCAACGTCGCACCCGGCACCCCCTGCCCCGGGTAGATTATGGAGAATCCAAGGAAGCGATCTACCTTTCGTTCTCTCGGCTTCTTGTCCAGATAACAGGGTCACCACATCTAGTCTTGATCGCTGCAATGAACAACATGAAGGGGCAGCCGTCTTGGGTGCCGGATTGGACGCCCAATGAACACCGAGAAAATAAATGGGGGGATATCGAGCGACTCATTCGCTCTAACCACGTCACCAGGGGTGACAAGAGCTCGTGTCCGTTCGGCATAAGCAAACATTGCGATCTTGGTGATGTTGACCGGACACGAGTTCTTGCCGCCCCTGGTGAAGTTGCAGACGATACGGATCGCGGAAATCTAGGAAATATACGCATCTCCATGGTGGGCGATCATGCGATATCAATACATGGTCGTCGACAGGGCGTAGTCGTTGCAACCTTCAACTTCTACAAGACTCAGTCGTCGTACCAGCAAGCCGAATATCGTAAACACATTCACAACCTGGGACGATTGCTCCAAATTCTCGAGACAACAAACATGAATTTGCCATTCTATGGACATATCGGCACTTTTGCTCAATTCGACTGTTGGGAACGCTTCATATGCAGACACAGACGCAAGGAGGTCTCGGCGCTTTTTTCCCTTTTACGAGATGGCTCGCGTTGGGGAACTTCGAAGGCCACAGACCATAATTTACTCAGTACCCACATCGCCGTGTGCAACGCTCTAGCAGACGACTCAACAATACTGTTCCAGGGGTCCAACCCGGGACCGCTCGGACGACCCAGCATAGGCGAGTGTCGACGAAACGTCAAGCCAGGTGACCTCATTATCCGATGTCCAGGTGTTGAGATACCGATAATCGTCCGGCCCTGCTTTGATGGCAGGAACGGTGTTCAAATCAAGAGCATTGCCTTTTCTCCTCAGTGGTCAAATCAGACGAAATTGCGCGAGCGATTGCGTCACGTGCTTTCGAGGACGTTGCAGCCTCATGGATCTGTTCAGTCTGAGCTTGAAGAGTTCCATGTGTATTAAACTTCTGTTGGCTGTTCATCGGAAAAGCTCGCTTTATCCAAACATATGATTCAAATCAAGAATCTGGTTTTTTTTGGATGTTGAGTACAACTAGGAAAGTGCTCTGGAGACTTCATCGACGAACCAGAGCTGGCAATATCAAGAAGTTATTGTTCATGTATTAACGGTGTTTCGTCTGTATGTTATTAGCTCATCAATTAAATCAGTGGATCGGGATTGAGGTGAGGTATTGGAGGTTGTGGTAGTGTGCTGTTTCGCGTTTAGTCCGAATTAGGCAACTTCACAAAAGCCGTCGATTGCGCGGGTCTGCTTTATTACCACGCGCCGTCTGAACGCACCCCCGTCCAAACACGAACTTCGCGACCCCACCGTTCCTCCACACACCCATCTCAACCACCATTATGATCTCGTGCAAAAGTAGTGCCTCGCAAGCTTGCGCATAATATGGAAGATCGTAAATACACATGGATCAAAGACTAACGTCGTCGCTGAGTCCTGCGGCAACATTCCCGTCGACTTCCGCCCTTCTGCACAGCCATACGCCCTCATCTACCGCGCAAGGGCGGAGCCACGAAGACCGTAGAACGCCTTAAGATGACATATCCAGGCTTTTTCAAGGTCAATGGAGACCGCTATAATGACGGCTAACCTCTGAATAACTTACACGGCTAGGCCTTCCATCTGCAAGTCGCCCTAGGAGCCCTTCGCCTCGAACCTGTCACGATGAAGCAGAAGACGCTCGAATGGGCTGGCTATCCCGCCAACTGGTGTACAGCCTGCATGGGCGGGTGGCCAGAAACACATGAGGACCTGCCTTTCGGCTTCCTCACCCTCCCTTCCGAACCTGCGATGAACGCCGCTGGTCGGACTTCAGACCACCCGTTCAAAGACCTCCGCTCAGCCCGTCGCGTGCGCCAACGATCGAAGAGATACCCTGAGCGTATCTACAGCGGCAACAAGCGCCGTCGCAATGACAGATATCGCCTCGCACGAGAGAATCAGCTTCGGCACGAGTCCAAACGGGTAGACATTCAAGAATGGGAAGACGACTGCTACGACAAACGGGCACACAAAGTAAACATGGAGCACATGGACGACATAGAAGCCTACGAACTCTTCGGCAAAAACGCCCACATCTTCGAAGGCACAGCCGAGGGCGAAATCATAACAGGCGAAGACTTTGGCACCTGGGCACGACGCCGCATCGCGGAGATGCAGCGCGTCAAAGAGCGCCGTATACATACCTACGGCAAACCCGCAAGCCCCACGCCGCTATCCATCCTCCCGCACACCATGCGCGACGACAGGCGATCCGGTCGCGTCAGCGCTACCATACCTACCGCGCCCTTTGCCAAACCCCACGAAACAACCCTCCCCACCACCCTCTCTGAAATCCGCGCACACGCCACACTAACTTGCCTTCTCACACTTCCTAAAATACTCAAACAACGCTGTCGTAGCCGTAACGAACCTGCTCTACCTTCCATTCGAGGCTTCTGGTGGTGGGGCGAGTATACATGGCAGTGGCATAGAAACATGTCTGGGTGCTGGTTTCTTGGCTGCGGATATGAATGCTCAGAGTCGTGTGAGGGGTCTTGTGCGTGTTCATGCTGGTGCACTTTGGATGGGGAGTGTGCTTGTGCGGAGTTTGGGGTGGGGACGGAGTGGGAGGTGCCGGCGCCGGAGGAGGTGCAGAGATGTAGTCTTGTTGAGTGGGTTAGGGGGGAGTCGAGGGGGAGGATGGAGGAGGATGAGAATGCCATGAGAAGGCAACGAGATAGGGTGGAGGAAAAGAAGCTGGATGTGGATGACCGGGATTCGGACGACAATCTCAGTGACTGTGAAGATGACTGGCAAGATGAATATGTGATATTGAAGGAAGAGCAGGATGGAAGTGAGACGTGGAGTATTGTCAGTGGGGTAGATGAGAATTACTTTGATCACGACATTGAACGGGGTGGTCAAACAGCGTAGGGAACGATACCCAGCTATGTAAATGCAACTTGACAAACAGTAGTCTGATTCGGTGCGTGCGTAGTTCCTATACATCTAAGTCCATCAGACGTCTAACTTCTTCTCATCGATCATCCCACCCTTTGCCCTTTCCGCTCTCTCAGCAGCTTTCCTCTTTTTCGCGTCCACTCTTTCCCTGTCCTCCCTCATCTGCCTAATCAACGCGCTCTTCTCCCTGATCTTGTGTCCGTAGAGGTAGAAGACTACCGGGATAGGTATGAGCGCAAACTCAATCAGCGACAGCATTGTCGCACTCCAGTGTGGACCAAGACTCTGATACATCTTTGGACCTGCGAGGGGCAGAGCACCGCCCATGGCGGATCGCAAGACGGCGTTTCCAGCGAGAGCGGACGCGGCGTAGATGCCGTAGGAGTGAACGAGGTAGTTTGATGCGTAGATGAAGACGCCGCAGTTTCCCGCGCCGAAGGGTATGCCGGCGATGAGGGGGAAGATCCAGTGAACGTTGGGGGTGCATGTCCTATATCCATGTTAGCATAGACGATGTCGAAATGAGGGGGCTACATACCAAGCGAAGATCATCTCGCCGACAGGAACGCATACCGCAGCGATGACGACCACACTGACCATAGCCTCTGGGTATGGCTTGCCAGTCTCTGGGTCTTTCTTATGACTGTTGATCATACGACGAAGCAGAGGTTCCGATGCTATCGTGATGACACCGCCAATGCCAATACCCATATAACCCAACCCAACAAGTCCAGGCGACCAACCTCGCAGCTCACCAAAGACGATGGGGTACGACACGAAGCACAGATACAAGACTCCGTAGACCAGTGCTATGTATACGTCCCAGAAGATGCAGATCGGTTCGTTGACCGCCATACTAAGCGGCCGATAGAGGTTCTCCCGTAGTAAAGGCCAGAAAGCCTTCTTCTCATCGTAACGAGAGTAGTATCGGGGGTCGGACGTTTCTTTGCGCTTCTTTGCTGACTTGGCGCGGAGAATCGCTGGTTTGTATGTCTCAGGGATCAGGAACACCATGAACCAGGATGCGCCAGAGCCGATCATGACAACCCAGTTCGTCCACCGCCAGCCTAGGGCTTGGAAGACGAAGCCGCCGACAAGGGGACCAAAGACCGGACCGTTCATTGGCCTAAAATTTCGATTGGTGAAGTCAGTGCATGTCTCACACGTAGTTCGTACATGAGGAATCTTACCCTAAAGACCATATCGAGAAGGCCAGTGCGCGATAGTCTTCTTTGGATATATCGGAGACTGTGCCTGGGGCATTGGAAATCATAGCCGCACCCGCGATGGCACCAAAGAAGCGCATGACGAGAATCTGTGCTAGGTTGTTGGACAGAGCGCATGGTATGACCAGGATCGTAAAAGCGGCGACAGCGATTAGGTAGACAGGTCTCCTGCCGTACATCTCACTAAGCGGTGCCAGTAGCAGTGATCCAATCGCCAGACCACACAAGTAGGTTGTTATCCCCAAGATCACCAGCGTCTTCGACCGAATGCCGAAGGTCGCCATCATGCCCGGTATACCACTTGTGTAACTTGTCGAGTACATAACTACGACCAGTGTCGAGAAGCTCATGAAGAAGATGACAACAGCCTTCCTCAACATGGGCCACTCCTCCGGGTCTTCTCCATCCTCGTAGTCGATTTCGAAGCGCGGGTCTTGCGTCGCGTTCGTTGTGACAGTTGTGATCGCATCCTCCTTATCGCCAGGCCATGAGTGCCCTGTATTCCTACTCCATGTATGATGTATCGACGGACGTTGATCTACTACCGAGTTGATCGAGTCGGAATGCGTCGACGCTGAGGAGATGGAGGCGCGGTCGTCTTCGATTTCGACGTCTTCGATTACACGGGACTTGTCTGAAGTGTACGACCTGACTGATGGTGGTGTGTTCCGTGTATGCGTGCCTGATGTCGTTCCCACGGCCGTGTCTTTGGCAAAGTTACTGTGCGACATGGTGCTGACGTCGGCGCCGATGAGAATCCCACGCTCAACCAATAGCGAATGCGTACCCACGAATAAGCTCCCGCTGTTTGTTTATAGTAGCCTAAACACAGTATATGAATAATTGCAACGAGTGCGCCTCGAGCCAGCTAGTGGTGATGCGTGTAGAAACTCATCCACAACCTCCAATGTCGCGCCTTGGAGCTCGAGATGGGCTAGTCGCGCGCGCCCTTTCCACCTCCATGGTGGCGATGATTAATCTAGCGGGAATAAACCCACAAGGCATAGCGGTGATAATTGGAAGGAGCGTAACCGAGGCAGGCAGGTGCTGCAGCCGATATGCCGTTTACGGATGAAGTTTGCCCTCCATGGGACTGCGAGATCGGCTGAAGCTAGCCGCTGTCGTTCGACGGCTTCATTGGGGGTTCGCAGAAAATGTAGGAGATGCGATTGGAGCAGAGAGGTAAATGCACCGAGAAATCTGAATGTCAGACAAGGGAGGGGAAGGCGCTATGTAGCTAGCTAGGGAGCTAGGCAAGGGGCCGGGTAAATGCGATTGTAATGCACGCGTCGTCAAACCTCTCACCACCACGCTTCCTTCAGCTATAGAGTCTACAACCTCATCATGCATTATCATGAAGCTCCCACAGACTTGCGCCCAACTACCGTTGATGCGCTGACAGGTAGAACATGTCAACAATCTGCCGCTGTCTACTTCTGTCGCGCCACAACACGCGCTTCACCAGCACGCGCGTCGGAATGGCTGGATGAGCTCCATCGACAATTGTATTGCCGTCTCGACGTCTGAAAACAACCGAAACCATCTTCTGCCTTCACTTCAAGGTGATTGACAGCTTCCAAGGTTGAAAAGCAGTAGTGATACTACACTAATATACGTAGGTCGTTCTTTCCATTTGATGCAGGCCACGTCTCCATCATCCTTGTCATTTCAGCAGCGTTTCTCTCAGCCAATCTGGACTCACTCCTTCTCTCTTCTCGTTATCGCTTTTTGGGAGCAACATAATTTCGTCTCTCTGTTACTCCCACCCTTGCCACAAACCCCCCACTAGTTTGATGCGTAGACAGTACGAGGCAACTGCGGGCGTCAAGACCGGCCTAAGAGAAGCGCCCAACATTGTTCATCCTGGAAATCCATCGCGATGTCCGTCATGGCCTCTTCTCTTGGAACTGGCGAGGCTGAGGGTTTCTCGTAGCGCCGTACAGTGCCTCAGTCACCCATTCGCTAGCCGGCATGTCTCCTCATGCAGACTCGTTCACCGGTGGCAAGAGGATTGGCTAGAGACTGCGCTTTGGTGTTGCACGACCTCTGGCAAGGCTCACTTTTCATCGTTCATTGTTCATCATTGGGGAGGGCGTCTACGCGTTGCTGCCGCCTAGCAACGCAATGCTTGGCACCCAAATCAACCCTGGTAACGCGCTCCCACCGAGCAGTCGCGTTTCCGACAACATCACCACCTGCCACTTCACAACATCGTAATATCCCGCCCCCGCAGTATTGCGTACTTTCACACTCGTACTTGCCCCAGCCCGCTGCCTCGTTGCAGCAGGCACCCAAAATAGCGATGGTATCCGCCGCGCGGGTTCCATTTCTCGAACAGCAGTATAATCATATCACACTGCCCCGCAATGTACCTGGCCGCGAAGATGGCAATCTGCATCGCGTCGAAGAGGCTCTCTTGAAGCGCATGCTGGACGCAGTTGCAAAGCTCACCCCCCATGTCGCTGCAGATGTTGCTTCGCACGTCCAAGGACTGCGGGAGACATTGCTCGCATGTCAAGTGCTCAGCGTCGACGGAACCATTGGCAAGACAGCACTGATAAAGGAGCTTCGCGACTTCGGCCATGGCAAAATGCTCGTTCTGCACATCGCACCCCAGAACTGCGCTTTGCTCGTGTATCCCCACGACAACTCCGGAGAGCGCAACATCGTCTTCGAAGCTTTCGAGACATCTGCAACAGCTGACAAGGTGCTTGCTGCCAAAGGCGCGCTACAATGGGACTGTAAGTGGATGACACATACATGACTTCGGTGTTGCTCAAATAGTAACCTTGCAATACGTGTAGTCCCCGGCTGCGCGGTATCCGTCCCAGCTTCGACTCTCAACGAAGAATCTTTCCAGGAAGCGATCGCCACTTTCGTTGAACAAGCTAGTAGTGAGTCGGTCACCAAGTTTGCCGCTGTCACTTGGAAGGCAGCCGCTACAATACCAGAGATCCGGGACACCAGTGACCCCGCTCTCATATCTGGCTTGTTGATGACTATACTGGAGGCCAATGGCGCTGCAGTTGCGGTTGCCCTTCTACGAAAGCGCGTGCGCGACACGGTTACCTTCGATAACGCGCGGACACCCTGGAGGAGATCCGCTTTCTATCTGGTCCTCCGAGTAGCAGTCCAGCGTTACTTGTATCACCACTTGGGTGCAGAGGTCGGAAGACTCCACTACAAGACATTGATGTGTCTCCTGCATGCGCAGCTATTGGAAGACGTGTTGAAGAAGATACCCCTTGATGCAGCCTTCTCACTGCGTCAGAAGCTAGGTCGTCGCCTCGCCAAGCTTACCTCCGATGTTCATGGTGCCGATAGGTCCGCCTACAACAGGTATTCCAATCTTATGCTGTCCTTAGGTGGTAGTTTTGAGTCCTCCCTGGCAACTACTGGTGGGTACTTGAAGCAAGTCTGGCGTACCCATAGGCAGTCACGGGAACGCTACATCCCAAAGCTACGTCAGCACGCCCATCCTCATGAGTTCCAACTTCGTTTGATGAACAGCGGTAGATTCTTGAAAGGAGTGCTAGTGGAACACGGATACTCTCCACGACCTCAACAACGAACTGCTTCCGAGCATCTGCAGCTTTTCGAGCGATCCGTCGCTTCTGTAAGACCCTACATGCGTGCTTTGGAAAGCCATGTCGCTTCGTCAAAGCTCCTCGAGGATGTTGTTCTTCCTGCCAAGCGTTCAACGCAATCAGAAGGCCTCCGAGCCATCCGGTTGAGTAAGGTGATTCATGAGTACGTCACCAACATCAACGCCGTAGACCAGGCGTATCCCAACCAGAAGAGCCAGCAGTTGCTCCACCTCATGGAGCTTTGGGTTCTCATGGATAAGGATGCTGTAACATGCTACCCGTTGCTCGAGGAATACCATCCTGGGTTCGATCCGGATCTGTTAGATCCCATCCAGCTCCTTACACACGAAGAGATGATTCGGAGTCAAAAAGTACGCATGTATTTGAAAGCTCGCTTTCGCGCACGATCAAGTGTGCAGTCCAGAACTATCTTCGACGATCCTGCCGACGATTGCTTTGCTGTACAGTATTACGATCGGGAAGACCATCAGGGCGAACTATGTGCAATGCGAGAAGATATTGAGGCAAAAGCTGATATTGCCTATGACGCGAAGCACATCGAATGGGAAGAGAAGAGCCGGCGCCATGCTCAAACTATCGACAAGCGAAATGAGAAGGAGTGTATCTGGGATGCTTTCGTTGCCTGGGATGGCATGCCTGAGTCACGTCATCGCCTTCCTTGCGAATGGCATAACCTCAACCAAGAAGCTAAAGGCATAAGGATCCAGATCTACGAGCATCCATTGCCAAGCTATGAGCCGGCTGCCAAAGCAGCACTGTTCGAGCTACAGTGCCCAGAAGTATTCGCTGCCTATCGAGACGCAACTTGGCTTATATTATCGACTCTTTGTCGCGAGCCGACCGATAGGCTTGATCGGATGTCGCTCGTCCGGGAGTACACACAGCTTCGCCCATACGTCAGCAGAACCAGCTGTCGAGTGACTCTGGGCTCGTACAAGAAGGCTCATCTAGAGTGCCATTACGCAAACTGGGGTTTTCCAATCGGAGTAGACGAGGTCATCCGGACTTGTGGCCTCAAGCCCAGGTACTACGACAGTGTTGGTGAGGCATGGACAGACAGATGCGGTAAAGCTTCCTTTTGGCATCATTTCCCCGTGAAGCTTCCTCTCAATTCGCCGCTCATGTCACTTGGACTCAATTACTTTGTGTGGCCGACATCGAACGAGATTCAGGCGAACCAAGCTAGGTGCCCTCAAGGCGTTGGCGTCCATGAATTTACAGCACTCCAAGGTCTCTTAGTCGGCACTCACTCAAGGTGGCTCGACCTTCTCAGGGAATTGGGCTCAACCAATATCAACTTTTCGTCGGAGTCCACATGGTCGCTCGTCTTACGTCTGGTACTTCAGCTAGGGTCAGACCGTACGGCCGAAACCGAGTACACCGACACTCATCGCTCTCTGTTGGATGATGGTCTTTGCAGCAAGCTCCTGCAGCAAGTCCGTTATCGAATGGAAGCGATCCGGCGAAACTGGCGCGAGCCCGTACAGATGGAGATCCTCATCACTATCCTACTCAAGGTGACCTCACTGAGTCCAAGCATATTAGTCTGCAACGAAGGAAGGGAACTTCTCCATGAAGCCCGCAAGATCACCGACGGCTGGCGTCGCGAGCTGCAGCCCATGGTAACGGAAGATCCGAACGTGTTACAGCCAGCTATATGGGCATCACTCTTGTGCAAGCAGACAATGTACACTGACGACTGGTCGGGAGCCCCACAGGGTCTTCGCATGTATCTTGACGCTTCGATCTCGCTGCGATACAATTTGGCGGGAAGGTTCGACAAAATGCCGTTCAATATGCGCAACGCCATCGCCCAAGACACACTCTTCGCTTACGAGCATCGTGAGGCCATGAAAGAGGCCATCATGAGGAATACAGGGACGTTCAGAGCTGCCTTAGATGCCGTATGGCATGTACGTGGAGAAGACGACACTACCGAGCCCGGTTTGGCGGTCGTTTCTGACACTTGGTACCTGTCATATACGCTGCAGTCAACAGCTGAGCAGCACTCCTACTTTGTGCATTACGACTATGTATATGGCACCCTACTTATCGACGGGCAAGAGATGGGAACACTTCCTCAGTCCTACCGTATGGATGACACATATCGACACGTCCTTGGTGATAAGAATCCAATTGTGTATCCTTCGCCTCTACGTGGCATGGATTTTGCACTGTCAGAGCCCATACGTGGCCATTGGATTCATCTGGGCTACCGCAACAAGAGGCTAATCATTCGGGCTGATCAAGGCGGCGAGCTGCTCGAATTCATCCCCAGCCATATTTTTGGTGTGCAAGGCCCTACACCCGACCTTCCTAGACCGTTGGTCGAAGATTGCTACCACTGGCTGCACGTCTACAGTGGTCATGTCGAGATCCGCCAAAACCTTGCTTGGACGGTTAAGCTCGGGAATTGGTGGATACATTGCCACCCATCTGGCTTCTATCATGCCGTTCGGCGATTCCGAGAGCCATCGCAGACGACTTTGTTAGACTCGGGAAGCGACCTGGTCAAGATCATCACCCGGATATTCACTCACTTCGAGTTCCCCTCCCAGATCTTGGTGTTCGCGTCGGC